TTTTAACGTTTTTTACTTTTGTTAAAAAAACCTATTGTTATATTTATTTATTATAGGCGTTTAATTGTTTTTAAAAATGAAAAAAATTAAAATCATAACGATTGACCAATCGTAATTACCTACGAATAATTATTTTTTTTCTTATTGGTTAATTAATTTTTTAATCGTCCAATCCGATAAAAGGATTTTGAATTTACTTTCGAGATTTTAGAACGCTTTGAAATTTTTTTTTTTTTCTTTCTTTTTTTTCTTTTTTTTTTCTTTATTATTTATTTTACGTTAAAAAAAAAAAACATCGTGGCAGTAAACGAAACGTTATAAATTTATAATGTAAATAATAATAATAATAATAATAATAATAATTAATTTTTTTTTCTTTTTCGTTTTATTTGCTTTTAAAATAAAACAAAAAAAAAAAAAAAACGAAACGAAACGAAAAAAAAACGTTTTTTTTTTTTAATTATTTAATTTACACTAATTAAACCTGCATAAAATATTTACCTGGAGAGTATACGAGATGAAAAAAAAAAAATTTAATTAAAAACGGTACGAAAAAAAAAAAAACCGTCTGTAAAAACTAATAAAAAATTTGTGTATTCTAATTTTTAACTTAAACGCAAAAAAAAAAACTTTTTTTTTTATCGACTTCTGGAAAAGTCTTTAAAGAAAAGTAAAAAAAAGGTCAAAATGTTGTCAGGGAAAAAAAATTTTAGAAAAAAAAAAAAAAAAAAACTAAAATGGACAAATAAAAAAAAAAAAATAAGTAAAATAATAAAATAAATCTCCTGTCGAGATTATTGCGAGACAAGGACAAGCCAACGCACACGCACGCCCACACCCACTTATTTTTCTTCGTTTAAACCTTCTTTTTTTTTTAATTATTATTATTATTAATATCGGATTCGTTAAAAATGATCCGCCATTTTTTTTTCTATATAAGTTGATAAAGAAAAATTTTAAAGTGATGAGAATCACGCGTAAATGTGTAAATTATTTACGTTTGTTGTTATTTATCAATCGTGTCGGGTAAATAGAATATGAGTTTTTTCGTTGCGTACACTTTAATTATATATTAAGGGCTTCTGTTTTCAAAAAAAGAGAAGTGGAAGAATGAGAAAAAGAGAGAGAGAGAGAGAGAGAGAGAGAGAGAGAGAAATGAATTGAGGAAAAAGGGAAAAAATCTCAGCATAATAATTTACATTTAAAAAAAAAAATTTTTTTTGTTTTAAAAATTTACGGCAAAATTTAAATTATTTATTATTATTATTATTATTATTATTATTATTATTATTATTAGACAAATCCAAAAAAATTAATAAATTTGTCCAGGTAAATTTAACTGGAATCCGGTTTTTTAAATAAAAATTATAGCGACGTTTGCGGTCAAACAAAAAAAAAGCAGAAAAAAATTTTTTTTTTTTTTTAAAATAAATCACAACGATTTGCAACAAAACGAGGTAATAATTCCATCGTGTCATTAGTTAGTGTAAAAGAATGAATGCGGTTTAAAAAAAAGGGGATAAAGAGAGAGTGGGGGAAGGGGGAAACGAGGCGAATAAAAAAAAAAATTTTTTTGTTTTTTAAAAAAACCAAACGGTATTATTTTTCCTTCTCTAAAAATTTATCAAATTATTTCAAAAAACGTTTTTTTTTTTATTATCAATTGGCGGGAAATGCGACGACCTTTTATTCTACTGCCACGTCTATACAACACGTCGGATTATCTTTAACCGACGTTAAAAAAAAAAATTATTTTTCAAACATTTGTTTGTTTGTTTTTTTTCTCTCCACGAAAAGTATTAAATTTTACTCTTTTTTTTGGGGGGGGGGGAAACGAGGAAAAACCAAAATGTTTATTTTTATACAAAAAACATTCTAGAACGTTCGAAATGTAAAAAAAGATTTGCGGGATTCCCCCAGCCTCTTCCTCCTCCCCAACAAAAAAAAAAGGTGGCAGGAGTTTTTTATATTTAATGATTTAATTTTAATTACGTAACGAAAAATTGCAAAGCTTTTAAAAAACGTTTTTATTATTTTTTCGTTTAAACAAACAAATTAAATTGTTGGCAAAAACCGATTCCGACTTGTTTGTT